TTCACAGCTCATCCGCGGGCGGCCGTTCAAACACCCCCGCCCCACCCGCACCCAACCACCGGGCAGGGAAATGGAACATATTATAGAACAACGGGCTCTCTCACCATGAAGAAGGCTGCGTTTTGGTGGAAAAGCAAACACGACGCGCTCGAGTATAAATTTACCGGCCCCCGGCCAGCGTCGAGATGTTTGCACGCGTGTTTTCACTATTATTGGAATATATAGACGCATTGTTGGGCTGCTGTTGACGCAGGATCGAGGAAGTGGATGTCCGTCGGGTTCCTCATTCCTGCTCGCGTTTGCGGTGGCCCTCAACTCGATTTCGGCGTCTTCCGTTCTCCACACTCCAAACTGGAAACGGACCAACTAGATGTCTCAACATAACGCAGTTTCTCAAGGGCCTCTAACGGTTTCTCAAGTGAGGAAAGTTGTCCTCTTGTACTTTCTTTTGAGTTAATTACTAGACAAAATATTTGCTTTCGTATTTGAGGACAAATGAATATTGTTCAGCTGATAGCTTCAAGGCGAGTGGCTATGATCAAGTTTTAAACAATGCGCCCTTTTATACCACGCGAAAACAATAGAATTCGCTTTGAGAACGAACGCTCACTCTTCCCATTTCTCGGGTAGTAATCACCCATGTCACAGCGCTCCTACTCCCAAAAGAGAAATTCTGTTTTGCATTTGAACGGTACGCCTTGAGGAAGGGAGTACTCCTTTAAACTGCTGTCAAGTAACGTTGTTTGAACTGAATTAACGCGCAACTTGCCTCCTTTTTTTCTTTTGTTCACGCAGGTAGTGACATCACATTCCGGCAACGTCCAGGACGAGGGAAAGGCTGGTGCCAAGTGTAACCTTAGTCCATCGAAAAATGACGCAGTAATCTAATTTGTTGTAATCTTCTTTTAAAGTAGTTCGCGCATTTTTTTCTGGAAGATGGGCTTCTGGTAGAGGGGGAGGGGTGTTGTAATTGTCCTCTTGCTTCTCCATTTGCTCGGTCCGTTGTCAATGTTCATTCTATCAACGATTCAATAATACATTGCAAGGAATTTAGGCGATGTTAAAGTGATACTGCCCAAACACGATATTCATGCAATTCGATTCTCTCTTGAGGCAAGTGAATGAGCAATTTGGGACTTTTGGCTCAATACATTTCCGATTGACATTCCAACAGGCAAATGTATTTCGAATACTTCGAAACGAACGGAAAATGAACGTAAATACACATCGTACAAGTAGGCTTCCGTGGCTCGAGTTCATGACTTCTAAGCTGTCCGGGTGATGCCGCGTCGTTGGCAGAGGGGCCGACGTTTCGCCTGTCATATCGCAGGCTTCTTCAGGGTAGTGAACAGACACTGCCGTGAAGAAGCCTGCGATACGACAGGCGAAACGTCGGCCACTGCCAACGACGCGGCGTCACCTGGACAGCCTAGAAGTCGTAAATACATATCGGCGAGATTGGAAAGTAAGCATTATAGCTAGAGAGAAGATTATCTGCGTGTTACTAATGCATTCATAATTTGCTTCTCTGTGAGGGAGAAATTTTTGTAAAGAAAAGTCTGTTGCATTATTTAGATTCCTGGGTCATTTAGAATATCTTAAAGATAAATAATACACACACACACACACACACACACACACACAGACATTTCTGATCATGTAATTTCCACTGCGCCTGTTTAATTCTCAACTGAATATTAGTGTATTCTGAGACATACTTCGCTCAAAATTTGTATTTTCTCCCCCATGAAGTTCGGAGTTGGAAGTGCACTGTTTGCTAAAAATGCCAAATATTTGTACCTGGTATCCACATCCGGAATTGGTTTAGGTAAAGGGGAAAGTTTTCTGACGCCTCTGCATTAAAAAATAAACAGTTCTCTGAATATTGTTTGAATAGATCAACACTTTAAACTAACAATAACAGTAGTTCACGTATTTTTGAAATGCTTAAAATTAAGGTTTTGTTTTCGGAAACGAAAGACATAACAAGTGAATACGACATTAAGAAATCAAATTGAACGTGATGCATAAATCTATAGTTTCCAATCAGGTTTTTGAAACACAATCTCTAGTATATAATCCTTTCTAAATTATGTCCGATTTCAAAACCAAAAATCTGGTAAAAATATCATCCGCAATAATTATATTTTTTGCGTTTACCTTGGTATGATTGTTCTGTGATCATTTAACACAAGAAAGTTAGCAAAGCTATTCTACCTCCAAAGACAGCGAGCAGTCAAAATTACTGCTTCAAGTAACAGTTTTTAATTATTTTTATTTTCAGAAACCTTTGTTTTAATTCAAGTCTTATGATACATTTTAGGGTTATGAAAAACATATTTTGAAGTAAATCACATATACACTATTATTATTTGGGCTTACAATCAAACAGACAACTAGTTTTTTCGTGTCGCCACATTTGTCATACGTTTTTCCGCACCCACAACAAATGTAATTGGTCTTATTGCTTTTACAATATCGTATTCGACACTATCAATGCTTACTTGTCTGCTGTATATTGTTTGTATTGAAGTACTCTGCGACAAGAGAGATCCCCGTATAATGTTTCGAGTCTATAGCACTGGGGCGCAAAGTGCTTCAGCTACAGTGTATTACTATTCTTAGTTGTAATATGTAAGTTGTAGTGTTCTGCCACCAGGTTTTATACATACCTGCACAAATAATAAATCTATCTACGATCAGTAAATACGAGCGCCGGGCTGGATTGTTTCTCGAGACCGTTTTTCCGAGACATACAGAATCCAGTAATTGATTCCAGCTAAATCAATGTAGTTATAAAATACTTGGACAGTCCAGCGTGTGGCTGAAGATTTGACAGAGAGAGCTCGTGCCAATTGTCGTCGTGCCAATCGCATTTAACGAACAGTAATTTTGACTGCCACCCATCGTTGAAGTTAAACCATGAAGAATGAGCCATTATGTCTAAAAATAACATATGTAAAATAATTCTAATTTGGCATTTTTATAGAACATCGTCAACTGTTAAGAATTACGAAAATAAATAATAAACCTAAATAAATAAATACATGAACAAAAGAAAACTAGATCTTAAAAACAGTCAAAATGACTGCTCCGGTCTAGTGATAATAATGTTAACGCAGTTAGATAAAAGCTTCACGTGTTTACGTACCAGTCGTGCTAAGTTGTATCCCGCCCATTAGTTTGTATTCAAACACCACGAAGGAAGTGTTCTCGAGCAAAAGAGCCCTTCCAGGGAACTGTCCGCGGGCGGCCTCCTCGGGCGAGGCGTGGCGGCCCTAAAGGGCGGGGCGCGCCCGGGCATCGCCTCGCAGGCGCTGGAAGTCCTCTTCGTAATGCACACGGAAGAGGCTGCGGTTATCTGCTCCTTTCCGAGTAGCACGACCTACGACGCTGCACTGGGGCGTCGCGAAGGGTTGTTTGAGCTGTTGGTGCAGCCCCAGTCCTATCTCGGTTGTCTTTGTTGTTGTTTTTTGGGGGGAGGGGGACGGAAAAAAAGAAAAAGCAGGAAACTGATAAGTCTGTTTCTTAAATGTGTTGAGAATACGCTCGTCGTGTTTTCCGTGTTTCTTTCTCTCGCTTTCTTGGCTTCACGTCAAGTTAGGGTGACGCCGAGATCTTCCTCGTACTTCCGCCGGACAATCAAGATAGACGAGCGAACGGCGAGGAGTGGTGCTCGTGAAAGAAAAATAAAAGACACACACGATACGAGGAAATGTATGGAAGTAGTTTTCAGTCTACAAGATGCATTGAAGAATAAGTACACGGATATGGACACATTTTTTTCAGCAGAAACCAATCAACTGACTTTTTTTTGAGGTTTTAATTTCAGTGTTTCTAAATTATATTTTAATTGGCATAATTTCCTGAAATCTGAATTACGCACAACGCACATGTAATATAAACCTATAAAATATATGTAGTGCATTAATTGATCTAATAATTTCATTCAAAAAGTAATTTAATGCTAGACTACGAATATGGGAAGAAGTTAGGTAATTAGATGCTTGCAGACTTGCTTGGCCCTGGAAAGTATTGTAACATAATCTTTATCTCTAGAAATAAAGTATTTTTGCGTTTTCTACGTTTGTCGTTATCTCATTTATATTTACGTTTATGACACACTGATGTGCAATTTTTACCTGCTTGCACAATATGTAGACTCTATTATACAGAAAGTATTGCAATGCTGCAGCAAATAAGGTGATTTTTGTCAGGAAGACACATTTTTTGCTGGTCCTAGATATCGATAAAGTGGATTATTCTTGTTTCTGAACGCAGGAAATGAATAACTTACTCTAGCCTGTTCTGTTGTCAAAATACACGTTTTGTGTGTCCGAGACAGAACGTCTGACCATCTGTCCTTCCATCTGGCTGCCCGTCCGACCAGCCCGTCCGTCAGGCCTTCTCGTCCATACGTCCGTCCGACCGCCCTCTCTGTAAATAACACTAGAGGCTAAAAGTCCGCAAGATTTTGACCAAATCTGATATTCTCCAATCGACCTGACCGGCGTCGTGACCCCTTAAATTTTAAACGGATATTTTGATTCGGGAGGGGGGGGGATTTCACAAAGCTTCAAGGACATTTTAATTTTTTAAAATGTCTCCAATTTTTTTGATTTAATTTTTTTCTGAGGTAGAGAAAACTACGTTCGTCAAAATGGCACCGAACCGATTTTCGTAGAATTTTTTGAGTTTTTGAAATCTGCAAAAGTTTAACATTTGTTTCGGCGTCTTTCTACTAGCACGACATACAAGATAAAGATTGTTTCCTTAAAGAAATGTTTTCTTCAAAATTAACCTGTAAATGAGATACCATTTTCTTAAAATGTTAGTAGTTTTTGCAAAATTTTGTATGAAAGAAAAAGCAATTTTAAAAGCAAAATATTCTCAAATACTTTTCCAATTGTTTCCGCGAAAGTATGTGCTGTTGTAGCACCTCTTTAAGTGATTGCTGATACGAATAGACTGACTTGCAAGTCTTACTGTGGTGGCAATCACTTCTTCCCTTCCGCCATTGTATTTCAATACACAATGAAATACCCTTGTCGCTCGCTTCGAAATGAAAACTTTCATGCTCGTCTTGGATGTGTTGAACAAAGCTCTTGCAACGTGGATACCTCTGAAGAAATGATATTATCAATAATTTTCCCTCATCACCAATCAGTTATTGAAGCAACAAATACAACAGCGATATTTAGTGCAAATCAATCAGCCAACAACGCAAAACCACTCGAAAGAATCGACAAAATTATTTAGACATTCGTAAAGAATAGGCCAGCCTACAAAGTAAGAAATACGTGCTTAAATGAATAGATTTATAAAAAAATTGAGAGGGTTCAAAAATCACAGTTCAATTGTGTTTATGGCAACAAAAGAAAAAAGAAAAATAGTCAGAATGTATTAAAACAAATACAAAATTTAATTCACCAAACAAATACAAAAAACCAATTTCAGCTTTTCTGAACACGTGATGTAACATTTCATAATACCTTATTACTTGCAATTTACATAGGCCTACCTTCATAATTCAGGAGTCCTACAACTCCTGCAATCACAGACAGATCCAGATTTCAGAAGAGGTACCAATTTCAACTTGTATTCTATTCCTTAAATTTGTCCAAGAAAAAGAACACAAATTTTAGATTAAAAATTCTTCTTGAATTGCTCTCCGCGTGGGCTTAACGAGAATACTTCTTTTTAATATAGTAAGATCAAAAAAATGTAGACTTTTTTATAAGTTGAATAAAATTACAAAACAAAAGATGTGTTTTTCGAAGGGTAGCAGCAGCCACGCCCCAGCCTCCCAAATCCACCGCTGCCTGCAATGCTGCTTCTCCCGTTGCTTAAGTGACCGGTATAATAATGAAAGCCCGCAGCATCGACTCTTTAAATCGCCGGGCAATAAAAGCCGAAAATGCGCCCAATGGAATCGTATCAGAGGAATTTCCAGAGCTCATTTATTCCAAGTGATTACGTGGCGTAGCGCAGCGCGAGTCGTGGTATTACGGGCGCATTCCGAATACGTGATGTGTAAGACCCGCGAGCGTCGTAAAAGCGTTTGGGCGAGGGCGCGGGCGCTGGGCGGGGCGTGGCGCGGCGTGGCGTGGCGTGGCGCGGCGCGGCGCGGCGTGGCGTGGAGCGAGAGGAGGCCCCGTGGAAGAGCAGTAAAACCCGCGCCGGGCCGGCGG